TCCTAGAACTCACTATGTACTCCAGGCTGGCTTTGAATCCACAGACATCTGCCTACCTCTGTCTCCCGAGTGCTGGGATTAAAGGCATATGCCACCACTGCCTGGCTAAAATTAAAATATTAACTGCAAATATCATTATATTGTAATAAATTTGTAATAACAGCAGAACATTCAGGTACACCCTTCCCCAACTCCCACCAGAACTAACAACTGTACAACCACAGCACATCTGTCAATATTGACACGATACTTTTAAACTGTTAACCTTATTTAATTGTACAAGTTTCCCTCCTTAGTATATTGACTATCTTGATATATTTCAGAATCTCCTAATATTATGAATCCCGGCTAGGAAATTCTGAAACCCTTTTTTTCTCCAAGCTGTCATAGTTATTAAAATACCTAGGCCTATTTATTTATTTATTATTTATTTATTTATTGTGGAGACAGGCTCTTTTGCATTTTACAGTGATCTAGAACTCAGTGTGGTAAAAGTAAATAAACTTGGAAGTCTGCTCCTCTTGCCTTTGCCTCTAGTTACTGAGAATACAGATGTGTGCTATCTTACCTTTTTATGCAGCACTGGGGATGGAACTCATGGCTCTGTGCAGGCTACACATGTATTCCACCAGCTGAGCTTCATTCCAGTCCCAATTTTTCTCTTTTATGACTTTAAATTTATTTGATTCTTTTATTGGTGCATATGAATGACCCACAGACTTGTTAAAATTCATGCTTTCTGGGTACCATGAGACTCTGCTTACCCAAAGTGCATTCTCTTGGTGCTAATTCTGCAGTTCCAGATTCATGTTGAGTAGGTAGAGCAATGGTTCTCAACCTTTCTGCTGCTGTGACCCTTTAACACAGTTCCTTATGTTGGGGTGACCCCCCAACCATAAAAATTACTTTTGTTGCTACTTCATAGGTAATTTTGCTACTGTTATAAATCATAATGTAAATATCTGATGTGTAGATGATCAGACCCCTGTGAAAGGGTTGTATGACCCACAAAGGTGTCAGGACCCACAGGTTGAGAACTGTTGAGCTAGAGCTAAGCCCTCACCTGTAAAGTAACACATCAAAAAAATGTAATGGACTGGCTCAATAGTTAAGAATACTGACTATTCTCCCAGAGGATCTGGAATTGATTCCCGGCACCCATACAATAGCTTATAACTGTCTGTAGCTCCAGTTCCAGGCATCTAGCACCCGCTCTGGCCTCCACTAGTACCAGGTAAACACACAGTGCATGCACGTACATACAGGTAAAACATCCATCCACATAAAATTAAATTAAAACTAAAAATATATATATTTAAAAAATCAACTGTCATATGCAGTAGGCAGCACCTCTGAACTATGTATGTGTTCCTTAGTGCCTTGTTTTAAAAAGTAATTGTAGAAATAAGAATAGTTTTATAAGACAAGAATTGGCATGAATGTTTTTTATAACTTTGATAATGATGTGATCATCAAAGTCCTCAGCAATAAACTCATAATTATATATGCACCATCACTGATGTAAGTGCCCATAGAATTTAAAGCCAGTGTTACAGAAAAAATTAAATGTAAGTCTTCAACGTTAGCTTTTTAAGTTTAATTAAAATACAATTACACCATTTATCTCCATTTCCTCCCTCATACCCCTCCTGTGTCTGTCCTCCATCCTCCAATTCTTTGCCTCCTCTTTTTAAATCATCGTTTTCTATACACACACACACACACACACACACACGTGTGTGTGTGTGTATGTACGTATGTATAAAAGAATATAAAAGTGTGTCCTGTTTAGTCCATTCTGTGTTGCATGCCCATATGTTTTTAGGGGTGACCATTTGACATTGAATAAACAATCAGGGGGCTCATCCTTGGGAAAGACTAATTCTTCTTCTCTAGGCGGATGTTAATTGCTTGTTGCTCTTCATCTAAAGGTAGGGGCCTTGTGAACTTTCTTCCCCTGTCTTTGTTGGAATTTCAAAAAACAGTCAAAATGACTACAATCTACACATGCACCTTTTAATAACTCTAAATAATAATGGACTGACTCTAAATCTAAGTGACACAGACTGACTGAATAGATCAAGGAACAAAATCCAATCTGTTGTCTACAAGAAACTCAGCTTTAAAGATAGACAGGACCACTTATAGTAAAAGGACAGAAGAAAGCATTCCAAGCAAAGGAGGTAGCAGGCAGACATTGCCATCCTAACACCTGACAAAAGAGACTTCAAAGTAAAAGTAACCAGAAGAGACAAAGAAGCGCACTAATCAAGGCATCAGTTAATCAGGAGAACATCACAATACTAAAACTTAGATGCACCACTCTGAGGCACCCAATGTAGGCGATTTCAACACTTCCATCTCTCCAATAGACAGGTCATTGGGACAAAATATAAAGAGAGGAACCTTAGAACTAAGTGACATCTTACATCATCAAGTGGACCTAAGAGATATCTATATGATAGTCCACCGAACACCAAAAAATATACACTCTACTCAACAACACATAAACTTTGAAATAACCCTTATCTAAAGACACAATGCTACCTTTTTTAAAAAACATAATCAGTTTATTTTCAATTTGTTTCTTGTTTTTTGAGACAGAGTTTCTCTGTGTAGCTTTGGAGCCTGACCTTTTTACTTACTCTGTATTCCTGGGTGGCCTTGAAAGCACAGAGATCCATCTGCTTCTGCATCCTGAGTACTGGGATTAAAGGCATATGCAACCGTCACCTGACAAAGCAAACTTTTAAAAAATATTTGTTGTTTTTATTGAGTTATATATTTTTTCTCCATTCCCCTCCCTTCCTCTCCCCTTCCCTTCTACCCTCTCTCCTGGTCCCCATGCTCCTAATTTACTTAGGAGATCTTGTCTTTTTCTACTTCTCATGTAGATTAGATCCATGTATGTCTCTCTTAGGGTTCTCGTTGTTGTCTAGGTTCTCTGGGGTTATGAACTGTAGGCTGGTTTCTCTCTGTTTTATGTCTAAAAGCCACGTATGAGTAAGTACATATGATATTTGTCTTTCTAGACTGGGTACCTCACTCAATATGATGTTTTCTAGATCCATCCATTTGCCCACAAATTTCAAGATGACATCCTTTTTTCTGCTGTGTATTACCTCATTGTGTAAATGTACTACATTTTTCTTATCCATTTTCAGTTGAGGGGCATTTAGGTTGTTTTCAGGTTCTGGATATGACAAGCAATGCTGTTGTGAACATGGTTGAGCACATGCCCTTGTGGCACAATTGAGCATCCTTTAGGTATATACCCAAAAGTGATATTGCTGGTTCTTGAGGTAGGTTGTTTCCTAATTTTCTGGGAAATCACCATACTGATATCCAATGTACCAGTTTGCACTTCCACCAGCAATGGAGGAACGTTCCCTTTACCCTACAACCTCTCCAGCATAAGTTGTCATCAGTGTTTTTGATCTTGACCATTTTGCAGGTGCAAGATAGACTCTCAGAGTTGTTTTGATTTGCATATCTCTGATGGCTAAAAATTTTTAGCATTTGCTTAAGTGACTTTCAGCCATTTTAGATTCAGCTGTTGAGAGTTCTCTGTTTAGTTCTAGACTCCATTTTTTGTTGGATTATTTGTTCTTTTGATGACAAATTTCTTAGTTTTGTATATTTTTTTTGGAGATCAGCTCACTGTCCAATGTGAGGTTGGTGAGATTTGCCGAGGTTGTAAAATATGAACCAGGAAGCTTCATGCACTATAGACCCATGATTTCTGCCTCTAGGGGGAAAACAGGATGATGCTCAAAGAAAGCCATTATGTCCCTATTCCCAAGATTAGGTTTTGGTGTGCACCATGAAAAAATAAAGTTGTGAAAGGAAATTAGGTGACCCTATTGTGTGTAAAGAAAAAAGAAAAAAATATAGATGATTAGCTAGACCACTTGTTTAAAGTTTTGTAGAGTAAAAATAGGATAGGAATCTGCAACACTGAAACAAGAAACTGGCTGAGATATACTTGACTTGCTTAAAACTGTGTTAATCAACAATAAAAGAGTCATTTGGTGGGTGAAGATGTTAATGGGAAAATTAATACAAATTATACAAAGAAAAGTGTTTAACTACTTGTGGACTTCTAAGAATAACATGTAACTTCTGATCATAAGGTGATTATTTTCTGTGTAAAGAATTTTTAATTTTTTTTGAAAATATGTAACTTGTGGTTGTAAGGTAATCTTTTCTTACATAGAGACTTTTGTCTTAGGTAGTATAAAAGGAATAAGAAAAAATAGAGTCATAAGAGAAAAAGAACAAAGAGAAAAATAAAATAAAGACTTAGGCTTTGCCTTTCAGATCAGTCTCCTGTGTGTTCAGTAGTGCCAACTCCGTACCTCTTCTCCAGTTTTTCTGATCCATTGAAGCTGGATGTCAGAAGCAACTTTAAAAAAGCTTATAATACAGACCTTATGGTGTCAGAGAGTTTGAGTCCATGATGACAAAGCAAAGGTATGACAGTAGGAATAGCTGAGAGCTTACATCTTCATCAACAATCACAAGGCAGAGAGAGAATACTGGAAATGAGGAAAGTCTTTGAAGTCTCAAAGCCCACCTCCAGTAACACATTTCCCCCAGCAAGGCCATACCTTTTAATCCTTACCAAACAGTTCCACCAATTGGGACCAAGTATTCAAGTATATGAGTCTTAGGGACCATTCTCTTTCAAACCACCACAAGAAGAAACATCCTCTCTGTTAGATTTGAAAGGAAAAATATAAGCCAGATGATCGCTGCTCTGAGATATAGTCCTGTGATCTTCGTTCTCCATAAGTTCTTAACCCCTTTGCCTGTGCTCTTTAAAGGGAATAGCATCTGTTCCTAATTTCCAGCTATATGGAATCAAGCTCATTTTATTTCCCAGTTCACAGCAATCTCAAGACAGCCAGAATCTTTGTCTTTGGGTTGCCATGGCATGGAATTCTATTTGCATATTGGCTTGTTTCTTAGAAACAGATAAAAAGACATTGAGGGTCTAAGCAAGGATATTCTATCCCACTTTCTCGAGTTTGTTTTATTATCTCACTCTCCTTTTCACTAAAAGAATTTGAAAAGTGAAAGTTTTAGGGGGGGAAGTTCTGGTGTGTGAGCCTGGGGAGAAGAGAGGGTTTACTGAAGTTGTTAGGAGTACTTAAGCATGAAGGTTTGTCTTAGCCCCGCTGAGGAGAGAGAACCAACAAGCCTCTTCCTTCCTTGAAGGACATGCAGAACCTCTATCCTGGACAGAACCATTAGGTTGGCAGATATAGCACTAACCTTATTCCTGGCCATGAACTGACTGATCTAATTGACTTAACAAGGTTAGTTTGGGGAAAATTAATAAGAAAAAGAAATGTAAAAAAGAAAGCTGTTACCCTGAAGGGTAGCAGGAGAGAAGAATGGCATCGGGAACTGGAGTGAAGTCTGTTTCTCCATATAGTTCGAGGAATGGCTAAGTTATAAGACATTAGACTTTCTGTGTTCCTCTGCCCAGCCTTGTTGCCTAGTCCCATTGCTGGTATAGCTCTTTCCAAGCCCCAGCAAAAGTAGTGCCTTCAAGTAACGGGGCTCACAATTGGCAGGAAGTGAAGTGAGGACCCCCTAGAGATATGGCTTTATTTTGGCTTGTCCTGGTTCCCATCTAAGAGACTCCAAACACAGTAGGAGAGGTGTTAGATTCCTGTTTCCACTGTGTGCAGATGGTTACTGCTGGAAGATATAGATTTTATAGATGTCTGTGTTACTGGCTCCAAATCATAGCCAGCATCATTGTCTAAAATTGGTATATTTATTTTTTATGTTCATTGGTGTTTTACCTGCATGCATGTCTGTGTGACAGCACTGAATCCATGGGACTGGAGTTACAGACATGTGTTAGCTGCCGTGAGGATGCTGGGAATTGAACTGAGGTCCTCTGGAAGAGCAGCCAGTGCTCTTAACTGCTGTGTTATCTCTCCATTCACAGATCTATTTATTTTTGTGTCTTAAATTTTAGATGGTTCTGAAGACACTATGCTGTTATTAACTTGGCTGATTATTTGAAAATCTCTATTTACTGATGACTGGCAGTTTTCTGGAATAACATAAATCCACTTTTAACCTATTCAACATAGCTCTCTTCTCTTCTCTTTGACCTTGGATAGTCTTTGACTAGACTATTTCAGGATGGAAATATTGTAAATTACCCTGTTGATTTAAAAGTGGTTTGAAGTCAGGCATGGTGTCACAAACCTAACATCAGGAGAATGAGGAAGGAAGATTGCAGGCCAGCTTTGTCTACAACACAACACTTGTGAAAAAAACAACAAGAATAAGAAAGATTAAAAAAGAAGGTTTAATTGCACTTTATTGTCCCATGTAGTAAATGTGTAATCTCTAAAATAGCTTATATTTAAACTAATATTAATTTTTGTTGAACATTCAACAAATCTTTCCTATATGTCTGGAATTGAAATATCAAAAGAAAACATAATTTATGTTTCACAGATATGACAAATTTGTACAAACTGCAGATTTAAGAATATTAAAGATTCAAGACTTTCCATATAAACATGTATGTATATAAAATTTATAAATATATAAGACTGATTTCTATCCTGATTTCAATAATATAAAATGTACTTTTAACACATTGAATATAAAATTCATTTATGCCATTTGTTTTTTAGGCTGTGGATTAAGTTTAATCACAAGATAATATCATGCAGGGATTTAAGAAGAGCCCTTTGTATCTCTGGTTGGAACACTATGGATATAACAGGTAAGTGACACCTTTCAAATGTGCTGTTCTCCAAACACAGCTCTCAGTATGGTTAACAGAGTCAGGGACATACGTGCACCTTCTTAATAGATGTAAATCGAATAGAAATGCAATTTGACAAATTCACACTTTAGAGAAACCTAGGCTCATAATTTTCCTTTAAAATACTACAATTTAGGCAATGTGACAATAAGCATATTCCATTCACCTTAAGTTTTTCCTTTAGGGAATATTGGTGGATATCCTATGTAGGGCTGGTAAGCTAGTATTTGATTCAGGAAGCCATTCCACAGAAATGGTTACCACTTAGCACCAGTTGATCCATCTCAATTAATTCCTAAAATAATGTCTGTCATTCCTTTAAAGGTAAAAAATGGATTTTTACTAATGAGATTAATGGATGTTGGCATTATATGAAAAGCTACAATATTTCAAACATTCCACTCATGTGAGAATGCAATATAAGATATTTCTGAGGTGTCCATTATATAATATACCCTTGAGAATGACACTTGGGATTTGATCCCTATGTGGTCTTATCTTCAGCCTATCACTTGTAAGAATTTTTGCCTCTGTAATACTAGAAATCTGTTGAAACACAACTTTCATGCAAGGCACTGTTTGAACATCAAAATATGTTTCAGAGATCATGGCCACTATTTGTTTTTCTTGTCTGTTAAATGTTTTGTTCTATGACATACTTGATAGAGCCTAGTATCATGATTATAAAGGGTTAAATGACTTTGACCTGTCCCAAACTTGTACTGTGGTTACTCCTCCCTGCCAAAATGAATTGTGAGAGTCGGTCATAACCAAGTTAGTTTAGGATAGTTCACAGGTCTCACCTTCTTTAGAAGGTAATTTGTTTACTTACTATTCCCGTCGTACAGGGGAAATCATAACTGTGTCCCTCCTGGCAATTTGACCCATTGTTACTTCAGGCTTCATACAATACTGTACCTGAACCTCTTTTATGTATCATTTATGAATGTCTCATGACCCATGTAGATTGATGCCTCAAGGAACTTCTCAGTATCCTGGTCTGTCACCTCAATGTGCTCAATCTAAGGAGTCACTTAATTATCTGCCAGTATTTTCCTCAACTGAAACCATCTGTGAAATTCATTAATCACTCAAAGCTTCCTATGAAAGAAAACACTTCTAGACCCCTTTGCAAGTCAGAATCTTGTTTCCTGATCTGATTTGTCTGTGTACTCTGCATAGTTTGCCTTCTTGGGATTCTTATTGAAAACTGGTAGAAGCTTACAAATGACTTTGTTTTTGAAAAGGAATCTTATTTCGTAAGGCAGGAAGGAACTTGAGCCATGTTTTAAGATTGATACCTCCCTGGAACGTAAAAAGTGACTTACATAGATCATAAATTGTCAAATTCTAGTCTTTTCCTTAGAAACAGACTGAAAAATAACAACAAAAGAATATATTCACTTAGACTTTTGAGCTATTTGTTAGTATAGAATTGGTTTGTAAAAAGGCTTTTACTTAGCAAAATTAAGAAATGTCATTAATACAATATTTGCAAAATGTGTTTCTGCCACTTTTCCTTTGTTCCAACTACTTCTGCAGTTAAGTAGGTTTATGAGTTCCTTCAAATTCTTTTTTTAGAGATTCACAGTGCTTGTTAGCAACAAAAAATGCACACCATAAATTTCTCAGACCCACTTTAACAATTGAAAAGTTTGGAAAATCTGGTGGCTGATAGTGCGAACCCTTCATTTAGATGATTTGAGTTGCAGATCTATCATCCAGACTCATGACAAGAGGCACATGGCTCAACCTTTCTGTGACCCTTTGCTCACACCTAAAATAATAACAATAACATTGTAGCCCTCATGTGATTATTGTGATACTAAGTGAGCTGGATGAGAAGCACCTAAGAACTATCCTTTTTTGTCATTTTCTGTTAATATCTCCCAAATAATTGTTCCCTTATAAGAACTTCAGCAAATACTTCCCTCCAATATGAGCCAAACACACCTTATTAGCTTGCTGGGATGTTCATTTGAAGTATGTCTGGGGATAATGTTTTTAGTGAAGTTGAACTATTTATCAGTTGGAAACTTGAAGTTCACTGTCTTGCATGATATCTAGAAGTTGATGTAAAGAAAAAATAATGAAAAAATGTTGTGAAGACAGATATGTGAAAGTAATAGAAAAGAGAATCTCTGAAAATTTTCGTTAATACAGGGAAATCAGAATGTCTAATGTCTACTTTTAGATGCCTGTGAAGTGTGGGATGATTAAAAACTAGGAGTTAAGGCAGTAAAATGTCTACTTGCTTTAAAATCTCAGCACTAATTTTCATATTGTTATGACTCTTGAAACACAACCAAAACAGAAGCTTTGAAAAGACAGACTAACTTTCAGAGTGATGCTGATACTGTTGGTGAAGATGCACATTAGTGTTTTTGCAACTTAAAAATCTGAACTTTGACTAGTTTTGAATCTCAGTATTGACTACACAAAGCAGCTTCTCTGATGAGGATTAAGTGCTGTACTAATCTATGGATACAGAAATACGTATTTAGAAGGCAGTTTGATGCTAGGTCCATTTAGCAAAATTATGGTATTAAGTTTACTCCTGGGATCTATGAGCTCCCCAGACATGGGTTCTTGTTCAGACTTATGGTTTCAGAATTTCCTCTTGTGGATCAGGTCCTGAATTTAATCAGAAATAAGTTGGTTACTTCTACAGCATTCATGCCAGTGTTGTACTTATGAACATATCTTGCCAGGCTGGTTGTTGTAATAGATCTCAGGTGTTAAAGTTCTACAAGACTTATTCTAACATCTTTAAAAAATAACTCTGTGTGTGCACACAAATGCAGTAGTGTATATACATATGTGTTGACTTGTAAATTCATATTCCTGTGATCTGTTGGCTGATTGGGGAAGAGCTGAAGGTCTCCTTGAGGTGATCTCTGTTTTGCAGCTATTGTCTCAGTATAGTATGAAGATTTATAGATTAGGTAAGGAACTACACCGTCACCCTTATTGAAAGCCAAAACTGAATCTGTGCCTTTCTTTGCTTCAGTTTAGCATGAGGAGAGGTAAAGGAGTCTGGGGCAAAGAGTTTCAGAACTGGAAACACTGTGAAATAGCAACTGCTTGGGTCCGATGACATCCCCTTTGAGCACCTGGGGAAAGCAGCACTCCTCAGGGATTGTCATGTAGGCTGTGGAGATGAAGGGGCTGAGAAGAGAAGACCAAGTCTTTGGTCTTCCAGTCTTTGGTCTTCCAATCGTCTTTGGTCCTTCCCTCATTTGTAGGCTTGTCATCTTTACTTTAATTCTGCGGGGGTAGCCACTGTTGATTTCTAAGAAAAGGCCTTAATGGTTTTCAATCAGAGTAAGACCATGAAAGCATTTGCCTTCTCTTTGGGGTACTTTGTGGGGTCCTGCAAGATTGTCTTTGATAGTCTTTCTGTCCTGTGTGTCACAGGTGTAACGGCACAACTGTCTTTGGTGTCTTATTTAGAGCTCATTTGTTATTTGTTTTTCCCTTCCCTCCTTCTTTCCCTCCCTCCTTTCCCTCCCTCCCTCCCTCCCTCCTTCCTTCCTTCCTTGAAACAGGATCTCATGTAACTTAGGTGCTCACCTACATGCAGATAAGTAACTAAAGATAAATTTGAACTCTGGATCTTCCTGTCTCTTCCTCAAAGTTCTGGGATTACAAGAGGGCACCATTATAGTCACGTTTATTGCTATTTCTTAAAATAATGTTATTTCTAGTTTGTTTCTGGAGTATAGGATTGATGATACCTCAGGAATTTTTTCTAAATACAGGAATGTATGATTTCTCAGGTTATCATAAGAGATATTTTGTTTTATTTTGTTTTGTTTTCAAGAGTGGGTTTCTCTGTGTCTTTCTGACTGTCCTGGAATTCACTCTGTAGACAAAGCTGTTCTCAAACTTACAGAGATCCACCTGCCTCTGCCTCCCTGAGTGTTGGAATTAAAGGCATGTACCACCACCAAGTGACTCAGAAAATAATTTTGATGAGAATATGTTTTGAATCTCAAAAAATATATTTTTGCAATATAGTACTTTGTATGTGTGTGTGTGTGTGTGTGTGTGTGTGTGTGTGTGTGTGTGTGTTTGAATGTGTGTGAATGTGTGCATGTGAATGGTGTATGTGCATGTGTGTGAGTGTAAATGTGTATGTGCGAGTGTGTGTGTTGGACAGAGTTTCCAAACCTGGACCAGATTGATTTTTAACTCAAGGTTCTCCTGACTCTCTATCTCCCAAAAGCTAGGATTACAGGTATGTACCACCACATTTACATTGTGGCATAACATATACTGGAAGACAAGAAGAATAAAACTCAATTATACTTGTGAATGACAAACAATCAGCATGGTTTTATTAATTTGACCAAAGATATGTTTTGTGTGTGGAATAATCTACAGAGGAAAGATTATTTTTATTAAGAGGTGGAGGCACCCTAAACAAGCGTTTGGATAGATGGAAGTCTTGATTGTTCTGTTGCTGGTTGTATGTTCCACCACATTCTACCCTTACAAATCTTTTAAATATGATTCAGAACATCTTTGATCTCTGAATAAAGGTGACCAAGAATTAAACCTTGCTATGATGGTGTTTGTTGATTTGGAGTTTTCTTTTTCTCTTTCCCCTCATGAGCGTTTGTTTGGGTACCCCTTCTTATCCCTGTGCTTACAAGTCTAGCTTGCTGTTACAGCGTATCCAGAGTTACTTGAAAGTCACACAAAACAGAATAAAAAGGAAGACCATCATCATTATCTTTAGAATCCCCATCTTCTTTCCAGTAATGTGCACAATCCCATGATACATGGAGGTTGCTTCAGGGTCCTCAGTTCTGAATTCCAAGCCTCTTTCTTGAGCCTTTTATAATTTCTTGTGATTCCTTTTTACTTTTTGTTTCCTGGAATCTGATAGGAGAAAAAATTATTGCCTTGTAAAATGTTTAGCTTGATGTTGCCTGTGCTCTTTATTTTTTGGCAGAACTGCAGATGCTTTCACCATGTATTCTATGTCCTCAGAAAGCAGTCCCAGTGGGTGAGTTGATTTGGATGATCTGAGTTATAACACGTATTGGGAACATATAGCACTAATTGGTTTTCTAAGAGTTGTAAACACATATATGCAACTTTCTTTTAGTAGTAAGTAAAGAATAAATAAAGCTCATCATCATGGGAAATTTGCTGTAACCTGTTTGTAATTCTTAATATGTAGCAGTCAGATTTCTTAGGATGTTATCAGATACCCTGTGTGACCCTTTCTTGGGTTATTCTAGAAAGGGAAGAAGGCTGTGCTTGGGACAAGGAGGACATGAGAGTGGAAGGTAGAAGAGCTCCTAGTAGAAAACGGAGGGGGATAATGAGGTTTGAAAGTGTGCCTCACCTTCCAGAACTCTGCCACTAAGGTGAGTAGTAGGTGCCCCCAAATCAAAACATCAAATTGAATTGAAAGAGGCTCAGGTGTATAGCTACTGTACCTTACTTGGGGGTCAGAGAAGGCAGTCATGGTGGATAAAAGTAAGGAGGAATGGAAGGACTGAGGGACAAGTCATTAGAAGGGACTGGAGGGATGCTAACATGCTAAAGGTGCACTAGAAAAGGATCTTTCATATTGTTTCTGAGTTTAGTAGTAGATAACTATTTTTATTCTTGAATCACTATATTCCAGTATTACTTCAATAGTATTACAGTCATGTGAAGTGTCATTTGTAGGAAACAGGGCATTAAATTCTGAATTACTGATTTATATGTAAGGATATTAAGAATCAATTTATAAGTACAAGATTAATTGTAACTAATTTAAACTTTTATGAAAACATGAATTTAGGAAGTAATTATATATCTGTGTTTGTATATCTCTTAATCACTTAGCACTGTCTCAGCTGGCTGCAAACAGTGCTCTCAGATGGTTTGAGACCTCTGGTTTCTGCTACAATATGGATACCAGCCCTCACTGGGACTCCTCTTGGCTATTCTGTTGTTGCCTTGTGTTATGGAGATCCTGTAGCTTTGTATCTGCAGATACAGCCCCTTTACATGCTCTAGCAGTTCATAAATGAGGTGGATTCTGGTGTGGGCTGTCTCATAGTCCTGGTTCTGGTCCTGGGTGGTAGCTGAGTTGGTGAGTCTGCCAGATTTTCCTCATTGTCACCACTAGGGCATGCTCTCCAGCACTGCCCAGGCTAGTTTATCCACTGCAGCATGCAGCAAGGAGCTAGATCAGTTCTTCCTCTCTCATAGCCTTTGGTCCAGCTCACCTGTACTCACACCACCGGGGCCAACCCTACTATTTTATCCAAAGAATAGTGCAGGACCTACTCTCTGGATTGCTGCACTTGGCCAGCTTTTCTGGTCTCATGCCCCTTGCCCCAGGCTGGCTCTCCTGCCTGCTGTAGGTGGCAAGGGTTGGCAGGGGTGGAGGGTATATTTCCATTATCCTTGCCACCAAATGGCATATGAGGGAGGGGGCAGGGGAAGCTCTCCTCCTTTTACAACCACAGACCTGGCTCACACACACCCTCACCAACAGGATCAGTTCTAGTGTACTGCCCAAGTGTTGTACTGAGGGGCAGGACTTTCTGGTGAAGATGGACACTAAAAAGAAATCCCACACTAGCTCAGAATTAAGTATAATAAAGGGTTATTTATTTAGTGGTACACTCATAGATCACAGTTCTCTGCATGAATGGGGAATAGGAACCAAATCCAGCAACCAGAAGAGAGAGCAAGTATACATTTTGCACAGGCTTTTATAGTATATGAGGCCACGCCCAAGTGGGCTGGTATCTGGCTGAAGGAGTTCCTACAGCACTCTAGTGTTGCAGACAGTGAGGGGCAGGGCCAACTCTGTGCAGTCCTATCCTTACTGTTTTTGGTGGTAACAGGAATTGCAGACATCAACACGGACACCATAGCCCCTGGCATCAGTATATGGTACTCAGATCTGAATAGTACTGACAGAGACTCAACCCTCAGACACTAACCCGACCCTAGGTGGCAGCCCGGGCCCTTGACAACCTCACTGCCCTTAGTGGCACTGTGGTCATGGATATCAATATAGACCCCAGCTGTAGCAGTCCTTGGAAGCAGTCTGGGCTCAGATGTCACCATGGCCCCAGCTGACACTGAAGGTCACTTTGATCAGCACGGACCCAAAGACAGCATGGCCTTTGAATCCCCACATGGTCCCAAGAGTGGGCCCAGATCCCTGGCATCTACACTGCCTTCAATGGCAACAGGAGCCTCAGACATCAGTATAGGTCCTGGGTTGTGGCAAGGCTACAGACACAGACATGGCCTTGGTTACAGCTTAGGCCCATATAATTGTCTTGGCCTTAGGTGACTGTGCATGTCACCCAGGTCTATATGGGTCAGAACCAGCACAGCCATTGAGCACCTAAAAGGCCACAGATGGAGGCCCAGATCCTGGGCTTCAGTGTGGCCTTTGGTGGCAACAGACCATGGACATCAGCACAGACTTAGGCTGCAGTAGGACCATGGATCCAGATCCCTTGGGAACAGCCTGGGCTCAAGTGTCATTGTGGCCCTTCTTGGCAGTGCAGATCATCAAGATTGGCATGGCCCCAGTGTTAGTGTGGCCCTGAAACACGACCATTACTCCAGGTGACAGCCCAGATCTTGAGGATCTACTCAACCTTCAGTGGCAACAGAAGCTATGGATAGTGACATAGACCCTGTCTGTGGCAGGGCCACAGACTCAGACATAGCCCACAGCCTCATTTTGGGAACAAATGACACAATAGCCCTAGGTGGCAGCTTGGGCCATTCAGGTTTGTATGGCCCTGGAAGAACTTTGAACCTCTAACACTAACATGGTGTCAGGTGTTGGCCTGAACTTCAGGCTTCTGCATGGCCCTCAGTGGCAACAGGAACCATGGACACCATCTCAGAGCCCAGATCCCACAGAACCACAGATGACATGGCTGCTGGCAACAGTTTGGACTGGAAATCACCATGGTCCTGGGTGATTGGCATGGTCCCTGTGGTGGCACATCCCTTTAATATAAACTTGGTCATAGGTAGTGACTCTTGGTGGTAAAAGGAGATGTGGATATCACCATAAACCCCCAGAGCTGCATCAGAGCCATGGACCAAATCACGGCCTTCATAACAGTCCAGACTCAGATATAACTGCTGGGTGACAAGCAGGGCATCTACCTCAGCCCGTCCCTCACTACCCTCACCTCTTCAGATTTGAATCATCCTGCTTCTCTCTGTCCCATTTTGCCATCCTGTACTCACTCACCATAATAGTGCCCAACTTGTTCATGAGTAAATTCTTCCCACCTAAGGTTTAGAGACCTAGGGTGGAACCGTGTTTGTCCTTCAGAGCCCTCTTATTTGTTTTTAAATGCCGAGACTCTAACTCAGGGCCTTGTACATGCTAGGTAAGTACTTTATCACTGAGCCACAAGCTAGTATTTCCATTCCTATCTGTTATCTATCCCTAATATTCATTTAGTCATTTAATGGTGTCCCAGAGATCTTGAACTTTCTGTTCACTCCTTTTAAAATACAATTTTTAATTTTTAAATGTTTTTTCAACTGTCTGAAATTTATTAAATTATAAAAAGTTTCCATTTCCGCCCCTCCTCCCAACGCCCTCCCACTCCCCCCACTCCCCCTCCTCCTCCCTCTCCATCCCTAAGAGCAGTCAGGGTTTCCTGCCCTGTGGGAAGTTCAAGTTCCTCCCCCCTCCCTCCAGGTCCAGGAAGGTGAGTATACAAACAGACTAGATCCCAAAAATCCAGTATACGCAGAGGAAACAAGTCCCAGTGTCATTGTCAATGGCTTTTCAGAAAGACTCCGGGCCAGCCACATTCAGAGAATCCGGCCACATCAGAGAATCTGGTTGGATCACGTGCTCATTCAGTCCCAGTCCAACTGGCCTTGGTGAACTCTCATTAGATCAATCCCCTTGTATCAGTGGGTGATCGGACCCCTCGCGGTCCTGAGTTCCTTTTTCATGTTCTTCCTCCTTCTGCTCCTCATTTGGACCTTGGGGGGCTCAGTTCAGTGCTCCAATGTGGGTCTCCGTCTGTATCTCCATCCATCGTCGGATGAAGGTTCCCTCTGGTCTTGCCTTCTTTGTTCACATTCTCTTTCCTTCTGCTTCTCGTTTGGACCTAGGGAGTTAAGTCCAGTGTTCCAAAGTGGGTCTCTGTCTCTATCTCCATCCATCGCCAGATGAAAGTTCTATGGTGATAAGCAAAATATTCATCAGTATGGTTATAGGCCAAGGCCGGTTCAGGCACCCTCTCCTCTGTCCAGAGAACAATCTGGGGATCTCTCCTTGGACCTGGGATCCCATTTATAATCAAGTCTCTTGTAAACCCTAAACTGACTCCCTTAGTTGAGATATATTCTTCCCTGATCCCATATCTATCCTTCCTCCCTCCCCCCATCCCAGTCCACCAAGCTTTCCCCATTCCTCCCCTACTCCCTTCTCTCTAACCCTCTCCCCTACCAACAACCCTCCCACCCCCGCCATGCACCCGAGGTTACCTGGGACTCTTGTCTATTTCCAATCTCCAGGAGGATAACTACATGATTTTCTTCAGGTTCACCTTATTTAGCTTCTCTAGGATCACGAATAATAGACTCAGAGACCTTTAATTATGGCTAGAATCCACTTATGAGTGAATACATACCATATTCCTCTTTTTGGGTCTGGTTTACCTCACTCAGTAAAGCATTTTCTATGTCCATCCATTTGCACGCAAAATTCAAGATGTCATTGTTTTTTACCGCTGAGTAAAACTCTAATGTGTATATGTTCCACACCTTTTTTAACCATTTTTCTACTGAGGGGCACCTAGGTTGTTTCCATGTTCTGGCTATTACAAATAGTGCAGCTATGAACATAGTTGAACAAATACTTTTGTAGTATGATAGGGCATCTCTTGGGTATATTCCCAAGAGCGGAATTGCTGGGTCCTGAGGGAGGTTGACTCCCAGTTTCCTGAGAAACCGCCACACTGATTTCCACAGTGGCTGCACAAGTTTGCATTCCCACCA